CGAATGACCTCAGAAAACAATGTCTTGCTTTACCCTTCAGATATAGAACGCGTCGCCATTATGCTGTCGACGTTTGCCTTATTCACTGACTCTAGTATTACTGGGCGGCGGTTCCCAGCGCAAGGTCCCTTTCGTGCTCCACTAAATCTCAGAAGTGTCGAACATAGAGGAGGTTGGGCTTTTGCTGTCAGAACTCCCGAATCTTTCAAGCTAGGCTACTGCTCCTTGTGAATTTGCTAGCACACTCCACCCACTTCACAACACTGGTGAGTACGCAGGATGATCACTGAAAAGAACTCTGGGAAGCCAGAGGAATGCGCATTTACATCAACGTGTTTACGAAAATCAGTTCCAGAAAACGACTTTGCAAGCTCCGAACAATGTGAATGGGCTGTCTAATTGTTTAGGTTGTCATACCTTCAATACCGCGTTAGTCTCGCGCAGTCACAGGATCCGCTACAGGATACAGATATTGTGGGAGATTATTGATTGACTATTCAGATGCTTCGATCAGACTCAGTGAATTCCATCAACACAAGCTCTGGACGATCAAGTCGACTTGGCAGGGTGTTCCATGCACGGCATGCGAAATCGTCTAAGAATCGGTGAGTCCACTTCACCGGAGTACACTTGGGTTACTTTCTTTTTCTTATTGCAAGCATTTTCGCACATTTTCTCGTTGTACTGTGGCAGTTTCCAAAAATAATAAGCTCAAATACCAAGTAAATAGGATAGGATAGGAGTACTGCGAAAATTACGTGGAAGTTACTACGATAAGATCGGAGGTGAAGAAGGGGAAATGTATCAGTGGATAGACAAGAAGAGCACTTAATGGTGCGGGACTTTGCGGGCTCCACAGCGAAGAGTATACCATACCCGCACCGCTCGCGCCACTGCCCGCCCACGCTCTCGTCGTCTGATTCTAGCCGCTCTAGCAGGGTAATCCTTAACATTGGTGGGGCCAGCGCCGATGAGATACACCTAACGCTCAAATCAACTGACAAGAAGGAAGGTCAATTTTCTCAGGTTCTAGGTCGTTTTCTTGGATTTTATCTTCGTCCTTGCATCACTGGCTACCTCTATCTTAACCTCTAGTGGGCTCCCTCTTCATAGTAAACTCCGCTTTTGAGTCACTGCGCAGTCGTGGCAAGTTCCGACGTATTTAACCTCATCTTGTCTGCGTGAAGTGCCCTCAAAAGCATTTATAATAATGACAGCTTTAACGTTAATGCAATTGTTTATGGCTTATTTCAGTGGAAATCAACCACGAGGAGAAGTGGAGATGTCAATTCGTTACGCCGATGCGATAAGGAAGCTGGTGGTGCAGGTGCTCGGTGCTCGGAACCTTTTACCATGGGAAAAGGAGGGACAGTGCAATCCGTACGCCTCGGTATTGATATCTGTTTTTCCTTAACTGACCTTATCCTGTCGAACTTCAATTTCTGGAGTTCCCAAAAATTATATAGGCTCATGAAATTATATTTATTTAAAAGTGATGCTCATCACAAACAGATACCACTCGTTTTTAGGTGAAGGTCATATCTGTAGAGCACAATAAGGAGGTTGCAAAACGTAAAACCGGCGTTGTCAAGAACTCGCTGAATCCCGTGTTTGACAATCAGTGAGTGAAGCATCGATAAATAGTTTTGTGATCGATTATCAATCGATAGCTATTGATTTTTTCAGTTTTGAATTTGACATGGACGCACAGGATTTGCACAACTACAAACTTCAAATATTAATCAAGGATGATACCAGATAGGAGCAGTGATCTCTTACTCGGAAGCGGTAACTCGGGGTCAGCTGAGTCCTTCATAACTAAATAGGTTTATATTATTTATTATATAACATTATTGTATTTATTTTATTTATTTATTTGTTTCGTTATTTAATTTTATTATTATATTTCTATGGCAGGTATGGGCGTACGTTATTTGCCAACAATGGGAGTGGACAATGGCCAAAATCGAAAAATGATAATAGAGGTTGAGTGGGATAGAGCATTAAGGGTACATAGACTTTCGTTTGGATCTATCATTCAGTATAGTAAATTGTTTAATTGTATTAAAGTGGCCCGGAAGCTGTCAGGTGTAGTTTGTAAGTTTCAATGTAGGGACAGGCTGGAGGTGTATCCAGAGAGCCAACGCTTGGACGGTTGCTATTTCCTCCGTCCAGTGTGGAACTTGGAGAATGTGCTGAAGCTCATGAAGTGATGTGAATTGAATGATTTTTCTCTTCATTAAACGCTGGAAGAAGCATGGTTTCGAGCGGGTATGTCAAGGGTTCGGAACGTACTGATTACCAGCAGCTCTGATCGCAGTTGTGGAACGGGACAGTCGTCATATTCTACGATGGTAGGGCAACCCGAGCTGAGCTGCAGACGGCAAACTCTAGTTCTAAGCTCCCTGTAGCCCTTATTCTGCCCTGTAAGATTATTGCTCTCGACCAACACCGACGTTTCCTGCACAGGAAAAATTTGTGACGAAGGATGTGGTCAGAGAGGCGTTTAACACATTGCGTACCGCGTGCGCCACCATGTGGCGCACGATTTCGCACGAAACAGCATAGTTTAATCTGATTTATTTGACATTTTTCAATGCTCCTGAACTGTTTGCACTCATTTTCAGAGCCGGGAAACCATACGTGTCATCACTGATAAAATTGTTGATAGATTAATGATGATACATTTTTGAAAAATATAAAAATATACGAAGGCACTCATACAACGGCGGTCCGCAATGTGTTAATCGACAAGCTGCTCGGAGCGGGTAGGGTGATAGCTAGGAATAGTATACATCCCCCGCTAGCCGTTCTTTTCAAAAACATCTACGAACAAAAGAGCAGTGTTTCCCGGTTAACATAATATCAACACATTTCAGATCGATATCCGGTTATCTACTTTGCCGTCTTGCCAACTTCCCCAACAATGGGTTCGGCTTGAAGCGGAACGGAGTTAAGGGATGTTTCAATATTAATAATCGATTTGTTGATCGTATATGTACAGTATGGCAAATTACTTGATTTCACTAGGAGTTATAGAGAATTTATGATATTAGAGTCGCATCGCTGTAGAGCTCCGTGTTTCACTTCTTGTGAAGTTTTATGTGTGTAGGATTACGTGGGGACAACGATATTTTACGGATATTTCCATTTTGTGTGCCTTGTTCTCGTTTGGGCTGAAAACGCTAGCGCTTTGAAGCTTATTTGTTAATGGCTGATTGACTTGGGGCGGTTCGTGACGTCTTTTTTTGTGAGTGATAATGTCACACGAAACCGTCTCAGAGTTTATCACATCCATTTTCTGAGTGCTGATCTATGCCTTGAAGATATTTTCCTTTGTATTTGTTCTTCATTTTTGCATCTCCTTTATGCTGCCTCTTTCGCTCGGATCTGATATCGTCTTGTCTGAGAATTTGTCCCAGAATATTTGATAATCCTGAACTTAAGTAGATTTGCGTGCAGTTTCTACGTTGGATAGTAAATGTGACTAAGTCATTCTTGGAGGATTGCTTCAGGAAATTCAATTCATTTTCATGCATCACTTTGCTGAACATTGTCGGCGAGATACTTGTAGCGACTGTATAGTTTGATATGAGACAAAGGTCCACTGTCCCTTTGACATCAGTAGATCGTGATGATTCAACGATTGTCCAACTTCAATGAGGTGATGAGTAAATTAACTGTAAATAATTTGTTATGAAATAAATATTACAATCTCTATGTCCCGAAATCGCTGCTAACGTAGCCGAAGAGGATCACCAGGCAGCGCTATAATCTGTAAGTGTGCGCGTTCTCGTCGAGTTACTCAGGATTAAAGAAGGAATTCGTGGTAAGAACGAAGGTCAAAGAAGGGGAAGACTGCATAGTTGGGAGACAGGCGAACCTCCTGAGGGTGCTGTCGACTTCTTGGGTGGATTGTGCGGGGTAACACGGCACCGACTTCTTGAACTCTAATAGATCACAGGTCTATATCTTGGCGAGTGATTAGATGGCAGAGAGAGCGTAGTGTTGAAGAGGGCACAGCGATGAGAGTCGCATCAATGCGCAAATCAACGGGCAAGGAAGGGGTCCCATTTCTCGGGTTTTGGGCCGTTTCAAATGGTTTCTTCTTCATCCTGCTCCACTGACCAGCTTTACCCTTAGTTCCAATAAGCTAAGTTCTCGTAGTAAATACTGCCTCTAATTAATTTGCACATTGCATCCAAATGCCACTACGATTTTGAATCAAAGTAAAATGCCTGGCGCAATCCAGAAAAGCACTGGTTGCCGGGTGGGGTTGCCGGGTGTATTGATTCTTTGTTTTCACACTTCGACAATTGTCCAAATTGATCATGTTGGCTAAAACTTAACTGGTGTTAAAAGGGTTGTTAGGGCTCTTTGTAAATCCGAAGACGACCATTTTCACCCCACGTTTGCTGTGAGTCGGGTAGCCTTACAGTACGACGCAAGACCTAGCAGGCTTCGAATAAAGTA